ATAAGACTAAGAAAACAAACAATATTATGACAATTGTAGTTAAATTATTGGAGAAATTGAGTTTTTTACTAATTTACAACTTTATTATAGCTAAAATATGATGCAATAAAAGGAAAATTCTCAGTAATTTGACTAAGATTACATGTGATTTAGATAAGAATGGGTCGAGAATGGGGCGGGTCAGGGCAGGTCGGGTCGATGAGACTACCCATGCCCGCCCCGCCCCGCCTACGGGGCAGGTCCGGGGCGGGGCGGACCCGCCCCAAAACAGGTCAAACAGGTCGGGTAAAACGGGTCAGGTCGAAATTGCCATCCCTAAGGATTCATACAAAAGACAACACATTCAAAAGAGACGCTAATAAGTGGCGAATCCAATTTCTTTTTATAGGGGTGTCCTCTTCCAAAAATTAAATTTAATTAAAAATTAAATTAAATAATTCATAAATAAGAAAATATCTGACTAGTGCAAATACACCATATTAGAGAATGATTCACGAACTGATCGCATATTCGATTTCTAACATTGTTGCTAATGTAACTCAAACTTGAAAGACTCTTTCAACTCTTGCAGTATACCTATAAAATCAATTCAAATTAAGGATAGCTCGAATGAGTTTAATTGTTGGGTTTAGAAAATAGTTGGGAATAAAGAATAGTGTTTTTACTATTACATAGTGTTTGAAATAAAACAACAAATGAGTTGCAACCTAGATAAATTGTTTAATAATAGTAGTGTCCTAGGTTTGAATAACAAAGAGTACTACTTATATATTTTTAATCATAAGCAAACTACTGCCGAGTACAGGATTATCGTTTTTTCAAATTTAAGAGTGTCCTGGATTACCAATTATAATTTTTTTTTATCCATCTGAAATACTACCGGGGGTTTGGATAATCGTTTTCTCAAATTTTACGGGTGCCACTGACACTAATACCATGTCGAAAACTAATTGAAGTCAAATTAGAATTAATATATGATGATTACTATAGGATTCAAACGCATGGCTTATTATCATTCTATTTCAAGAATCATTTAATTTCAATTATGGGAACTGGAGGTTGACAAATGGATCATGTTCATTTATAAGGTGAGTAAATATATTCTCATTTGTATTATCAAGGCGATAAATGGATTGTGTATGGAATCTCAACAAGTGGATAATTTCAAGGCCAGAGTACAACAGACAAGAATTGGTAGTAGCTTTGCTTTGGGAGCAATCGAGCAGGTGAATAGACAAAACCTTGTACTGTGCCAATAGGCTTCGCCTGTCATCCACACCTTTCTTAAAGCGAAAAGGGAAGAAGGAAGGAGGGGAGAGAAAATAGCAATAATTTGATGGATATCAGACCTTGGGTATAAGTTTATGATGGATTCATAGGTCTGGAAAATGGCGTCCACTCCTCCTAATACATCTTTGCTAGCATCACTAGTTGCCCCCTACCAAATCTTTTATTATATGAACAGAAGTTTGATGTATTAATCAACTCCAAGTTCATCAGCTCCAAAGCTGGGATTGATAACTCAAGCTTCCAGGAGAGAAAGTCTCACATTATTTGATATCGCGTCAACGTCCTTGCTCTGGAATAAAAGGAACAAAAACGTGTTATTCCAGTAGAAAAATTGGATCGAAATGTGTGCTATTCACAAATTATATGGTTAAGTGACTTAGACGGTAAATTTTATAAAAAACAAGAGCTATTTTACAAATTCAAAGCATACTCCCCTAGAACTAACACACTCTATTTCTCCTCATCAACTCTATTATTACTTCCCCTTCCCATAACTCACAATCAGTGGCGGAGCCACTCATTAGGTTGGGGGGTGCTTGCACCCTCCTTGGCTTGGAGGAGCAGCAAAAATTTATGAAGGGAAAAGTAAGTTTGGGGAATTACTCTTGACCGATTAATACTAAACAATCTTCCTTACAATCTTCATTTGATGAGTTTCTAATAAATCTTACGATTCTTTATATAAGATAACAAGTTAATTATAAAATTAAACCTACAACTATTATTGTTCCCATAAGAAGTTCCCCAACGGTTGTTTTTCCCCTGTCGATACTAGTACGATTCATACCAATTACCCCAAATCTTATGATATTTCTCGGTCATAAGTTGAATTCATGTATTATTCTACCTACCATTTGATGGCAGATTTAAAAACTTACAAAGGGTTGACGAGTTAGAAAAAAAGTGGAAAAAAAATAAGCACAAACCGTATCTATCTAGTTATTTAGTTCTCAAGTTGACAATTATCTGTATGTTGCAACTATAAGTGTGGGAAGATAATTTTCACCCATGAATATACAAAAAATTATATTCAAAATCGGATAAACGATGAGTTGGTGACATATATTGAACAAGAGTTGCGTGCTAGTGTGCACAAGGAATGTGTTCTACAATGTTTTCAGAATATGAAATCTCTTCGTTGTTCATTATAAGTGGTGTGAGTCGAACTATTATTATGTAATTGTCAAAATATTGAGTATTTTGCTGGCGATTTTTTATTTCGTTTAATGTTGACTTTTCTATTATATATAGTTGATTTTTTACGATATGAATAAACACCCCCTTAGCCAATTTTCTCGCTCCGCCACTGCTCACAATTGCTCCCTCGCTCTTTCTTCTTCTTCTTTGTTTTTATTTTGCGTGGGATGAAAACACATACACAATGGAACGATCTTTCCAAAATGCATCCTCTTGCTCCCATGCACGAGGCAGCTCTCGCTCCAAGCTGTGAATGGCATCGCAATCCGGCAAATGCATAGCCTTTTGGGAAAATGCCCTAGCTAATATAATTATCTTAGTTGACTACCCGATGAATTGAATAATTGCTATTTATCTCTTCATTAAATCAATATTTGCTTATCCAAGCAAGAAAAACCTCTTCATATTTTTATTTTGCGTTTTCTTAAGTTGATACATTCACACCTTCGTAGCATTGAATGAATGAATCCGTATGATCAATTTAATCTTGATGATGTCACAAACTCCTCCTTGCTTTTTCCATGTAGCTAGCTTTGATCTTTCTCTCAACCGTCCGTCCTTCCTTCCTTCCCTACATCTTTTCTTCTCGTTACTTTTCCTTTTCATTTACTATCACCTCGGCCCAGCTCAAAATCCAGCCAGTAAATAACAAACAAATAAAAAAATGCCAAATAACTAATAGTGTTAATTGTAAAGGAAAAAAGAAAAGGAAAAGACACTTAAAAGCGATCCACTTTTGGTTCATGATTCATCATCAAGAGTTGCAGTTGCAGATCTGTTTGAAAAGTGGGAAATTCAATTTCATCTTCCCGTTTCTCAATTTAATTATTCAATGCTATGCAGTTCCAAAAATTGTTAAAGCAACAATTTAATTATTCATTTTCATCTTTCCCGCCATTTTTCGTTTGAACCTAAAACTGTTTGCACCTTTTGGCATTCTTATCTCCTATCTTCTGGAAGGACTTGGTTGGGAATAGTTGGCTCATCGTCGACAATCCCCTGCTGCCCCTGTAATTGTTCAAATGTTTTATGTCAATTTGGACCATGATTTCGACGGTCTTTTCTTTACCACCATTGATTATGGCCACAAGTTCACCATCACCATTGACACCATGGGTTCTACCATTGGGTTTCCTACTGAAGGGTTTCTTCTTGCATCCTCTCGAGAACTCTAGGATTATAATAGGTTTGATGCTGCTGCCACCTATTACAAACTCTCAGGTGCTGATGTCCATTACTACTCCCCTGTCAAGGTTTCTTGTCTCCCCAACATCTTCATATTTTTCACTACTTTTTCACCAGAGTCCTCTTCCCCGATCTGACCAACTTGGAGTTGTTACTGAACTCGATCTGGGTAATTGCCAACACCAATGCCAAAAAGCGACTCAACTACTCCCATCTTGTATTTGGTCTCGTGGTCTCTTCCTCAAATGAATACTTCCAAGGAGATCTTCCGTTTGGAGACTATTTCTCATATGTATGCCAAACTGGGTGTTAATCTCTCTGCTTTTTTCTCCTCCATCTCTGTCACTAATGTTTTGCCTCATTCTATCATCGGCTCTCTTGGGATCTCCTTTAAACTTCCACAAGAGGAAGATGGCACATGGTTGTTGACCGTCGTCCGAGACAACTCTCTACAATTGGACCTCTCGACATGGCTCGTGACTCCCTGGTCTTCAATGTAAGAAACCCCAACTCCCCTAAGATAGAAGACTTCGCTGAAGCAGCTCTAAATGAAGACGTGACCCCAGATGCCTGAAGACGTGCCTGCTATCATGTTTCTTGTGTTTGAAGCTTTTTTGAATATCTCACGCTGAAGGACAATTATTTATTTTGATAGATGTTTAATTGATTTCTCCTTGAAGGAGATATATTGTTTGTGACTTGGATGGTTGCTCCCAGGGGGAGTATTTTTGTCAAGATTGTGTTTTTTTAAAGATGGCCTCAGTTCAGACTGATACGACTAGTCTGATCTGTTGATTGTTTTGTGCTTGTTGGCTTTGCATTGGTATCTTCTTTGTTGTTGCAGGTCTTGGTCAACAAGGTGTGGAAGCTCGAACGCAGGGGGGGAGATTGTTGATCGAAGCAAAACGAGGATTTCCTTCGCTTCACTCCTTAAGCAACACGATGGCGTTCTTCACTTTCCCGCTTAAGCTTCATGCACTCCAACCGACGAGGTTTTTGCTGAAGCAGAAACAACCTCCACTTTCAATTCAGTTTCAACAGCTACTAAAAGAATCAAGAAGATCTGGGAACTCAGACTCTCCATTCAACTCGTTCTAGAAGGAGATGCATGAAGAATGTTGTCGCCAGCCCCTAACTATATACTGGCACCTTGTCTCTCCATACATATCCGTGCGTATAGCGTAACATATATATCTCTAATTAGAACAGGAAGCCCACCACAGACAATTTGATAATAATAATAATAATAATGGAAAAGATGGATTAGTGGTGGTATACAGAGAAATGAAGAGATCAGTTTGGCCTCACTCTCTAGCTAATTAAGTAACAAATATTGATTTCATATATTAATTTATGTACCAAATGCATTTATATGGATGAGAACAGAACTTGAGAAAGTGGGAAACAGGAATACATTTGTTCTTTTTTTTTCCCCTTTAAATGAAAAATGGTGCCTCTCACCGGCAAAGAGCCCCCCTTTTTTTGTCTTTTACAGAAGGACGTACGAGGTAGAAACTACTACACAAGCCCCAATTCATGGAAAAGATAAAACATGCGAAGTTAAAAGGTAAAAACATCGTACGCAGGTAGGTGGTCAGTAGCCCAATAATCTACAAATATAATAAAACATGCTTTTATTTCCCCCCTTTTTTTTAATAGTTGCGGCGTTGTATTGGAATAAATTATGTCGTTTAGCTGTCGTTGAATACCATGCCTCCTTTGTTCATATGCTTATTCAGTTGCTCCTTCCTCCGGTTTTCCTCTTCCTCCCCGGCCACGTTGATGATGAGTAGCTCCGGCGGAACTGCGGCCGGGTCGACGGGGACCACCTGGTTGATCTGCTGATCCCCTAGCTTTGCCATGTCGATCACCACCTCCTTCTTCAACGGGAGATCATCAGCAGAATTGTTCGGAGTACTGCTCTTCCTGTACACCAAGTACAACACCATCTGCACGATTCCGAAGCTGAATCCCAAAATGTTGGGAACCTGATGACAACAAAAATCCGGAACACCAAGTTAATTATTATTATTATCACCCACTAATGATCATGAATGACAAATATAATTATAGCCTTGACGACTCACAGCGACGTAAGGGTCTTTCTTGAGGAAGCCGTACATGAACCACATGACTGCGCTGAGAGTCAGGAAGAAAGAGAGCGAAATCGGCATGAACTCCACGCTCTTCGTTTTTATCACTTTCCTCTACAACACAACAATAATCCACGTCAAAAAAAAAAAAAAAACCATCGAGGAAAATATATATATATATATATATATATATATATATATATATATATATATATAAAGAAAAGAAGTAGTGAAGTACGTACGACGATGGCAAGAGGGGCGACGAAGACGCAGAGGGAGAAGACCATGCAGATCCAGCCCAGGACCTGAACACGAACTACGCCGTGGGTGAAGGCCAGAGTGAAGCTACAGATTGCGCCGAACCCGACGACGTTGAAGAAGGAGAGCAGCTTCAACGTGGTCCTCCGGTCCTTGCTGGTGGCGTAGAAGAGGTAGAGGGCGATGTAGAACGTCTGCATGAAGAAGGTGAAGACGTTGATGGTGATGAGGAGCATGGCGTCCTTGGCGAACAGCGCGTAGAACAGCCACAGCATGGCGCTGAAGAGGCCGATGACGTAAGGGATTGACTGGAAGCCTTGGCTGGTTTTTTTCTTCCATATCTGGTAGAACGTCGGCAGCGGGGCCAAGCACACCATGCACGAGATGGCGTTGCCTGAAACAGTAGAACAGATATAAAAAAAGAATTGAGCGATCAGTGTATTATAAAAGAATGAAAGCATGCAAGCGCCGCCATTTTGATAGTAATTAATTTTTTTTAATGTATTACCTAGAAGACCGAAAAGGAACATCAACGAGAAGTGCACCGCCATTTTCCTTTTGTTTTTGGGGGTTTTCTCTATATATTTTTTTTCTCTCTGTTTGCTGTGTTGCAATTGTTGGAATGGGCGTGAGGGCTTTATATAGAGGAGGTGGGAAGAAAGAGAGAGGGACCAATTTGGCACTACGAATTCCAACTTGCAATAGGGAGATGAGATCAATCAATCTATCCAACTAGGAGATTATGCGTCTACAGTAGGAATATGCAAATAATGCTGCTCTTTTTGCTTTTTGTTTCTTTACTTTGTTTCCTTTGCTTTTGGCTCTCACCAAACAAAAAAGAAAAAATAAACATCCACAGACGTATTTTGTACTATATACGAGTGGTTTGGTTTTTGTCCATTTTCAGATTTCTTTTCCTTTAATTTGCCACAATCTGATTGCAAGGCTGCAAATCAAAACTTGAAAACCATTTTAACCCAATTATATTGGTTGCTCATCTAGAGTTTGGTTTGGATGTAAGCCGGCCCCGCAAAGCTCATTCTCATTCCCATTTTTAAGGTATTCTAAATGAAAACTTCTAATATATATACTACACGCATACGCATATATTTAAGGAAATTCCTACAATACCTTGAAGTTATTGTAACTTGATGTTTTTGACCTGTTATAACAGGTTTCACAAGTTGCATTACGTAAAATACAATAGTCATTGTGTAATGGTTACGTAATGTGTGTTTATCTTACGTAATAGTTGAAAAATGTCATTACGGAAACCTTACGTAATAGACACTCATTTTATGTAATGAATATTAACCTTTCGTTACGTAATCTGTTAAAATCATTACGGAAGACTTATGTAACGCTTCTAATTTAACTGTTACGTAAGAAATACCTATCGTTATGTAACCTTTACGTAATAGATGCATACTTTACGTAACAGTTGTAAAGTGTCATTACGGAAGCCTTACGTAATGGATGGTCCTTTTACGTAATGAATATTAATCAAGTTACATAATGTGGTAAGTCATTACGAAAGTCTTACGTAACACTTCTAATTTAACTGTTACTTAAGAAATAAGATTCGTTGTGTAATCTTTACGTAATGAGTGTGTATTGTATGTAACCGTTGTAAAATGTCATTACGGAAGTCTTATGTAATAGACAATGCTTTTACGTAATGAATATTTACCTAGCGTTACGAAAAATGATAAGGCATTACAGAAACCTTCTGTAACGCTTCTAGTTTAACTATTACGTAAGACTAACAAGCATTACGTAATTGTTACGTAATAAATATTAGTTTTACGTAATGCGACCTTTAAAACCTGCTATAGCAAGTCAAAAAGGTCAAATTATAGTAACTTCAAGGCATGGTAGGGGATTTAAACCTACCTCAGCTCTTACAACTCTATCAACAAACAATTCACCCTAATCACTACGGTTTATTGAAAATATTAAAAAATTAGTCTTATATCATTTGTCTATAAATTTGTTCAAAAAAAGTCAAACTCATGATTTAAATTTAAAGTTTATAAAAACCTGTTATACTATTTGGTTAAATCAATAACTTACGATAATTTATCTATAAAGCTTTAAACGCACAAAATATTTGTCCAAAAGACTACATGATAATTGATATCATGTCAGGAAACCAGATCTTTGAATGACTTGAGCTCAACATGTTGAGTCTATCAAAACTTCTCATCACGGTTAAAGAAGTGATATAATATTTGATTTTGATTGTCATGAAAATTATTAAATATTTTGTTAGGGCTTAATTACACTAGCATCGAAATAAATAAACTTCGTTCATTTTTCTTATATAAAAGAGTTATGATGATGAAATTTTGATCATGTTAGACTAACTCCAACCCATAAAGGGGAATTTAGCTCCCCAAATGGCCAAATATGACTTTTTAGCTCCCCAAACCCACTTTTCACTCCAACCCTATGAAAAGCTAAATTTAGCTTCCCATTTTCCTTTTTCAATTTATTTCAATAAACCATACTTATTTGACCTCTAATTTTTATATTTCACTTTAATTTTTTCATAGCTCGTTATTAGTTTTGAATACAAATTTTTCGATGTAATTTTTTTTTAAATTCCGAGATAATTTTTTTTTCAAAAATTAGTCGTTAAAATATTACCGTTAAAACTTCGGGACCACTCCAAATATGACCGTTTTTTTGTATCCGTTACTTTACGACTGTTTTTTTGTCATTTTTTGCACCAAATGTCTTTATAAATGACAGTTCTTAATTTTCATCAACTCAACTAAAACTTCTTCCCATTTCTAAAACAAACACATTCATCATGATTATCTCAGATAGCTCATCGTCTGGAGAAGAAGAAAACGAAGAGTGCGAAAGGTTTCACCACCTACGTTTGAGTTTGATCGGTCGGAGGCTGGCTGAAGGTGCATCAAGTCGCCGTCAAACTACAAGCCGACGTCACATTGATCGTGAGAGGGTCGAATGTAATCGACGTCTTATGAGGGATTACTTCGATCCAAATCCAGTATACAATGCTCGCATATTCAGAAGGCGCTATCGGATGCAGCCAAGATTATTCCATCGCATTATGGGCGACATTGTGAGGTTTGACCCCTCATTTGCTCTAAGGCGTGATAGCTTTGGTCAATTGTCACTATCTCCAGAGCAGAAGCTTACTGGTGCGATGCGCATGCTAGCATATGGTTCTCCAGCTGATCAACTTGATGAGTATGTTCGTATGGGTGAGAGCACTTTGATGGAGGTCTTCAGAAAGTTTTGCAACAACATTATCAACATGTACGGGGCCACATACCTTCGCGCACCTACTCCTGCTGATTTAAGTCAACACGAAAGGCGTAGCTCCTTCATCTGGTAAGTCATCAAGGCCTTCCACGGGAGATGATTGAGAACCAAAACCTGTGGGAGAACTTTTGGAACCTTGCCCCATAGGTGGAATGGGACTAACAAGCAGGTCAGGATTGGAGTACCACTTTGGACAATTTCGGAGAATTTCGAAACGATGCTCAAAATCAAAAGCCTTGTTCCCATTCTCTTGCTTATATATTGCTCTTGCCTCCTTTTCCTAATAAAATATGTAATACATGGGTTAGAGAAGTTTATATTGACACATATAAAAATAAGAAAATACACAAGTTGAGGGTCCAAAAGAATACCACATCAAACTGGTTCGTGCCACTCGATTGATGCCTTTGTGCTCTTTGCAAAACTCCCTTCCAAGCATTGCAGTGATAGCAAATAATCCTCATTCGGGATTCCATTGCAACAGCAGTACGAATTGTAGTAGGATCCCATTTTTGATGTTCTGCCGCCACTCTTTCCCACAACCTTGTATACTTCTGGTTGGTGCCAACCGCTCCATCTTCTGATATCGACACCCAAGCTCTGCACAAGATTTCATCTTCATTCGAACGCCAATTAGGTCCTCTCTTGCCTGTCATATTTCTATTTTGAGAGACGATAACAATTGAATTTTGAGAGAATGCGATTTATGCTCTGAGAATGAGTGAAGAGAAATCTATGAAGAGTGCTGTAATATATAAGAAAAAATATGGCCGTTAAAATATGACCGTTTTTTATGGCCGTTAAAATATGACCATTTTTTCGTCACTACATCAATTATTTCAAATTTATATTTCAAATTGAATCACAAACCACCAATGAGAATAGAGGAAAAAAATCCAAAACAAATTGGCTCCCCAAATTCCCAACCAACAAAAGTTAAAAGAAAAAAAAAAGCATAACAGCTCAGCTGGCGGAGAACCTCCCCACTTTTTGGCAGCCAAATATCACTCCCCACCCCAAAACCCAGCCATATTTCCCTTCCAAAAACCCAATACTCATTTTTTGCTTCCCATTTTTTTGTGGGTTGGAGGAAGAAAAAAAACCAAATATGGCTTTATAGCAATTTGACACCATGGGTTGGAGCTAGCCTTAGTAGCTGAGTTTTGGAGGCCATTCATCTACGAAACATTATAAGACTTTGCTGCGGTTCCCAGCAAGATGCTATATTTAAAATGGGTAGTTAGTAAAAAAAAGTAATGATTATATGTTAATCAAATCTTTTTTGGATTCTTTCTTATCAACCAAACCTATTGAAATATTAAAAATTATCCAAATATTTTGCAATATATCAAAATATTCACTATTTTTACGTTATCGTTAATCAATTTATAAAAAAAAATTTATTGAAAATACTAAAATTTTGGAATGTTAACCTCTATGTATTTCTTCCAAGTCGGTATCATGTTCTCAAGTCAATATTACTAACAAAATCGCTAACCGAAAATTAACATTTGGCTAATTATTTGTAATTCAATAAGTTTGGTTAATAAAAAAGAATCTCAAAATATTTGGCTAATAAATAGTTATTAAAAGAACTTCTAGAACAAGGTTATATGATTGTATGGAGAAATCAAAATTAATAATTGTACAAATGCGGGGTGGCTATACAGTTGGTCGTATAAAATGTTGGCCTATAATTCATTTCCTTTTGTTTTTTGACAATTTCTTTTTGGTGAACATAATCCAAATTAACAGCTTTTTTCTTTTTCTCCCTTTTCCTTTTCCTATGCTTGGTTGAGATGTAGCCCATCTGATGTCAATCCCTCTAGCTCCTCCACTCCCAATGCCAATACAGAATCTTAGCCCAACAGTAGATCCCAAATTTACAGGTTTCGACTTTATTTCATTACCAGAAATGGTTGAATTTCGTCCAAGTTGAATTGCTCCTTCCCAAGGTTACTATTCCTAGTACGTCTACGAAAAATCATGGGCCCACCCGAGTTCCTTTCTGATGTGTCGCCCACCAAGTGGTTAATAAGGCCTACAACTCATACTTCACTTTTTTCAGGACTACTTCCTCCCACCTTTCCTTCATTTCATTTCCCACGCTGGATATGCACACATGTAAATAAATTTAAATGTAAATGTAAATGTAGGCAAACCAAATTGATCACTTGGAATCTTGTGGCCATCTCTCCAAGTTCAAGTTTCTTTCCGGTTCTAGGCAAACCAAATTGATCACTTCCCTTCATAAATTACCTTCTTTTACTTTATTTGCAGGTAATATATGAACCAGATTCATTCACTTATTTGTTGGAATTTATAAATTCAACCAAAAAAAATGTATCCACCCAAAACAACGTTGAGCATTCAATCAATAGTTGTGGGATATTTTCCAGACTCGCCAAAACTTTATAGGTTTAAATTGTATCAATCAATGAAGCTAGTGCTCATTCATTTATTAGATGGTTGACATGTTTATCTCTTCTATCAATACTTCCTTCCTTATCTTCTAGAGTACTCACTAAAACGTTATAGGATTTGAATTTTCCATAATATAAAATGTGCTATCGGATTCGATTCTCGTCCGAAAAATAATGATAAACCGAATTGTTATTAGAATTTTCGTCCATATTTTTAAAGCTAAGAAGACAAGGACATATTGATAGATGTAAAACTAACCATCTCCTCTCCTAATTATATCAAAACTTTCTCCTAATCTTAATACCAACTTGGCTACTTCCTCTGCAGGAACAGTTAATTAATAATAATTCTTAACAATAACAAAACCTCTAAAGAACTAAGCTGAAAAGGTATAAATTAATCAATCCTCCCCCCTCTAAAGAACCTTGTGTCCGAATTGTTATTAGAATTGTTTTCAATTGAATCCAATTTCCGGTTCACTAGGATTGATAGTGCTATAGGAGTTATAGATCTCTTCTGTCGGAAAAGGGGAAAAAATGGCGAGAGGTACTCCCTCCTCTCTCCTCCATCTATGCTTTTTTCTGGGTCGTTTGCTCACCACTGAAGCGGCTGCGCTACTCTCATCCAGTCTGAAACACCAATGCTCCTCGCCGCAACACAATCCAAAGCGGCTGCAACGGTGGTCGGGAGTAACACACCATCAGCAGTTCAACGAAAACCGTATGTCGTGTCAAGGATCATGCAGGGTTGGGAATGGCACGGTGTAGGTGTTCGATGTCAATTATGGGCGACATCAGCGACAATCTGATGATCGGATGCTGAAACGACAAATCGGCAATGTTCGAACGGAAGGCTGGTTCCCTCCTTCCAAAAAACTGAAACTCTCCCGTGTCTCAAGAGGGACAGTGTGGCGGTTCAAATTACCCTCTTTAACGGAGGAATCAGAGGAGTACACTTCTGCCCTGTTCCCGATTGTTGTCAGGGAAACTTCACCCTGGTGTAAGGGAATGAAGTCTGATGATTTCCTTCAAATCCTGGTGGGATTGATTCTTTTCAGGATCACGCGAAAGTACGGTACTATGTTAGAGGGGGGTAGGCGAGGATTTTCCCTGTCGCTCCTCGAAATCCCGGTGCGATGGGAGACCCGCCGGAAACCTAAACCGAAAAAGGGGAAGGAGGTCGCTCCCAGTGCGGCCGAGAGTCTGACTCGCTACGACACAACACCTAACAAAGGCCAAGTGTAACCAATGAAAGGGACTGCAGTATAGTGGCTCAAGTGATAAATATCGAATCCACGGGTCTCTAGAGTTACTATTACTCAGCTTCAGTTTATTATTTAGCAAATCAGATTAAGATGAAAGAACTAAAACTACTCTAGCAAACTACAGTTAAAGTTAATCTAATTACAGGTTGGGAACTCACTTAGGTATGATTCCCCCTAGCCACTAGCCAGATTAACGATTGATGATCTCTAACCTGTTTCACTTTCATTCACAATGCGGAGAATCCTTGACTAGACCTTGAGTCTCGACTAAAGGAACAAGGCCCTCTTGAGTCAATTGCCTAGAGGGACGTATCCTTCTCTAGAACAACTGATCAAGGCGTTCTGAACTAGACTCCCTCTATCGAAAGGGGTTCTCAATCGATACAAAGCAGTGAATCAACCCTCGACTAAAGCAATCGATCCACTACTATCAATCTATGGTGCTCTATTGACCTAATCAGGTATTCCCTCTCATAGAATCAAAGCAGAATCAATAATCTCGACTAAAGCAGAATTGAATCATGAAAACATGCATAGATTGAATATGAACTCAAGATTATCCAGTCAGAGTACTCATACAATCATCCAATCAAACAAACATAGCTAGGGTTCCTCAAAACCTAAGTGAAGGGAAGTTACTCCATAGAGAAGAGAGAGACTGCAGTAAGAATCTTCAGATGATCAGTCTTCAAGTCCGGGCTTGTTCCTCGAGCTTCCAAGGCGAAGAAATCCTCATTCTCTACTCCAAGAATGCCCTCAAATCGCCCTCTCTCTCTAGGGTTCGTCCCTTGGGTGTTTGGGATCCAAAACCCAGCTCCCTCTTTCTTTGGTTCGGAATTTGGCTTAAAACCAGGAAATCCCGACTCACACGGGCAGGGTGGCACGACCGTGTGGCTTACCCAGTTGCCCGTGTGAGTCAAAACGCTGCGTTCCAATTAGTTCGAATTCCAGGCTCTTGCACGGCCAGAGTGGCACGGCCGTGTGGACATCCCCTCTTGCCCGTGTTTGCTCTCTCAGAATGTGGCACGGCCAACCCGGCCACTTGCACGGCCGTGTCGATCCTCTGCTCTGCCCGTGTGTGCTCTCGGCAAAACTCGCACGGCCAGGCCATTACTTCACACGGCCGTGTGATCATCAGGGCAGCCTGTGTGACCTCCTTTGTGACTTGTCTCGCGCCCGATCTTCGCCCAATCGACCCCGAACTCGTTCCTAAACCTTCATTCACTTGCCAGGACCTGAAATATCACAAACAAGCACAACCTAGCGTGAAATCGGTCTAAAACACGAGAAACCACATCTCAAACGGTGTAAGAACAGGGGTGAAAACATGTGTAACTAACGGGCTATCAAACTCCCCCACACTTAACTGTTTGCTTGTCCCCTAGCAAACCTAACTCAAACCAATGCAACTCTCCAGACCTCTATAGCAACAAACAACCCAGATCGTAGGTGGAGGACTTCCTAGATCATTTAGCAGCTTACGAGGTCAACCGACGCACAAGTCATCTCATAGCTTCTTATCGAGTCGGCATCATGGCAAAAAGTGAACAGAGGACAAATGAATTGTGGACGGAGAGATTCTCAAAAACAAAAGATCATGGACTCACATTTTTCAAGGTGCTCTATTTTCTTTGAAGATGGTTGGAACCCCTTTTTTTCTGTTTTGCTTGTTTTCTATTATTTTTCTTTTCTTTTTCTTTTCAAGGGTCCCAACCTGCTCTTACCGGCCATGCCAGGAGCGGATGTCTCGAGCCTCGTGCGGGGGAAAGACATGTATGGGGGCTGGAGGTAGTAGGTGGAAATTGGGAACGGATTCCCGTCTCCCCTTACACACTTTCGCCCTATTCGCACGGGAGACGTTTATTTTGAAGCACATTTTCGAGCACCTGTTATTTTCAAAGCATGAAACAAGAGTCCATGACAGGCAGAGAATCCACAACACCACACAATTCAAGGGTCCTAAGATCACTAATTCACTCATTCAACCAACACAATATGAAGAAGAAATGAGACTTCTTAAATGCATCAACATCCTCCATAGTGCTACACTACCTCCCTAGGTTGCATATTACTATAAAGACTGTCAATTCAAAGCATACTGAGCAGGCAATTGCATGGAAACACGTACTTGGAGCCCTCAAATTTAAAAATTTGGACAGTGGACTAGGCTCCAAGCACACAAACAGCCAAACATTCACCCGCATACATAATCGAACATCCCCCCACACTTAAGCACGACATTGTCCTCAATGGAGGAAAGATAAGGAGGGTAGAACGAAGTTACCAGATCAAGGGTGAATGATGATGAACGGGTCAGGCGGTGCATTCCAGAAAGAGAGAGTAATCAGAACACAAACACCACACAAAATCTCACAAAGGTTGAGTTATTGACTCTAAAATCAAATAACAAAACTGACTCAACCGAGGAGAAATAGAGAAAGAAATGCAAACCGACTGGTTGGGTTGCCTCCCAACAAGCGCTTCTTTCACGTCGTGAGCCGGACGATGGCTCCTAAGTTTCGGTCCATGCTAGAACCTCCTTGAAGTTGAGGTTCTCGTCGATGAGGTGGAGTCTCAAGTCATGAGCATGTGGCGAGGCAGGTGATGAGGGCTCATGTACTTGATGCAGATGAAGTCTCCACCCTCGAGACCTCTTCTTCTCTTCTCTCGTCTCATTGCCCCAAACCAGATAAGACAGCATCGATTGGCCACCATCGCGTCCACCAAGAGGGACCGATGTCGAGGTGGCCTTGGTCTGGCAAAGAGACACTGCAAATGGGTCCTTGCTAAGCAGTTCCTCGAAGTTTGGTGGAGATATCACATGTAACTCATGGCCGGTGCAGGCCTCTTCCACCTTAACTCTGTCCTCAGCCTGGACGCCAATTGCTTCTTCAACCCCCCTTTCTTCTTCATGTGGTATCACCCCTGGGAAATGATCAAGAACTCCTCCTGCTTCACTTTCGTCATCCTCCACAACTTCTTTCTGCACCCTTTGTTGCTCTTCTTCTTCTAGCACGGATTGGAGAGCAAGTTGCCAAGCAATTTCTTTCATGAGATCTTCTTGCAACTCCTCACTCATGCCCGCATCTTCAAAGCGCAGTTTGGGGTGTGGGAAGGTGTGGTCGGCTACGACATGACACTCCTGATCATGATCATCACGGGAGCTCTCCGTGACAACTTCAGTGTGCTCCACAATGTCCTTGTAGCCTTCTTCTTCCTCCTCATCTTCTTGTATGGTAGCATAAGGGTGATCTGGAGCAGGTTGCGCCCAAGATCGCTCAAGATCATCGACGCTCTTCTTAAGGCTCAGGAGGATCCCCTCTGTTTCACGATAGGCCTGGACACAATGATCCATACTGGAGCACGATCTCTCCATGAGAAGTCTCAATTCATAGTGTGGATCTGGCTGTGGAGTGTAGCATGGCTCTGCAGAATGGCCCGTGAAGGCCGCCATGGGTAACTCCAGCTCCAATGGCCCTTCTGGTTGTGGGAGAAATTCTTCTTGGTAATGAGGTTGTTCTTGATATGCCCAGGGGTCCGGTTGTTCTCCGTAGTAAGGGGGTTGGTACTGGAACCCGAATCCATAGTCTTCTCCGCCTTGATTGCTCCAGGGAGTCTCGGGGTAATACCACCCAGATGGTGGTGGATACCCCCAATGATTGGAGAAGCCATTAGGATCCATGATTCAGATCTGCACCAACAAAAACAAAAACACCCAAGTGAAAAGCAAGGGTGGAAAAGAAAAGAAACGAAAAACGCTAAAGTAACAAACTTCTGCCTTTCCTAATACTCTAGAAAGTCCCCGGCAACGGCGCCAAAAACTTGACTGCTCTAAAACACAACACCTAACAAAGGCCAAGTGTAACCAATGAAAGGGACTGCAGTATAGTGGCTCAAGTGATAAATATCGAATCCACGGGTCTCTAGAGTTACTATTACTCAGCTTCAGTTTATTATTTAGCAAATCAGATTAAGATGAAAGAACTAAAACTACTCTAGCAAACTATAGTTAAAGTTAATCTAATTACAGGTTGGGAACTCACTTAGGTATGATTCCCCCTAGCCACTAGCCAGATTAACGATTGATGATCTCTAACCTATTTCACTTTCATTCACAATGCGGAGAATCCTTGACTAGACCTTGAGTCTCGACTAAAGGAACAAGGCCCTCTTGAGTCAATTGCCTAGAGGGACGTATCCTTCTCTAGAACAACTGATCAAGGCGTTCTGAACTAGACTCCCTCTATCGAAAGGGGTTCTCAATCGATACAAAGCAGTGAATCAACCCTCGACTAAAGCAATCGATCCACTACTATCAATCTATGGTGCTCTATTGACCTAATCAGGTATTCCCTCTCATAGAATCAAAGCAGAATCAATAATCTCGACTAAAGCAGAATTGAATCATGAAAACATGCATAGATTGAATATGAACTCAAGATTATCCAGTCAGAGTACTCATACAATCATCCAATCAAACAAACATAGCTAGGGCTCCTCAAAACCTAAGTGAAGGGAAGTTACTCCATAGAGAAGAGAGAGACTGCAGTAAGAATCTTCAGATGATCAGTCTTCAAGTCCGGGCTTGTTCCTCGAGCTTCCAAGGCGAAGAAATCCTCCTTCTCTACTCCAAGAATGCCCTCAAATCGCCCTCTCTCTCTAGGGTTCGTCCCTTGGGTGTTTGGGATCCAAAACCCAGCTCCCTCTTTCTTTGGTTCGGAATTTGGCTTAAAACCAGGAAATCCCGACTCACACGGGCAGGGTGGCACGACCGTGTGGCTTACCCAGTTGCCCGTGTGAGTCAAAACGCTGCGTTCCAATTAGTTCGAATTCCAGGCTCTTGCACGGCCAGAGTGGCACGGCCGTGTGGACATCCCCTCTTGCCCGTGTTTGTTCTCACAGAATGTGGCACGGCCAACCCGGCCACTTGCACGGCCGTGTCGATCCTCTGCTCTGCCCGTGTGTGCTCTCGGCAAAACTCGCACGGCCAGGCCATTACTTCACACGGCCGTGTGATCATCAGGGCAGCCCGTGTGACCTCCTTTGTGACTTGTCTCGCGCCCGATCTTCGCCCAATCGACCCCGAACTCGCTCCTAAACCTTCATTCACTTGCCAGGACCTGAAATATCACAAACAAGCACGACCTAGCGTGAAATCGGTCTAAAACATGAGAAACCACATCTCAAACGGTGTAAGAACAGGGGTGAAAACATGTGTAACTAACGGGCTATCAGAGTCCCGTCATAAAACTAACCCGAAATTGGGGGGATGAGCGTGTGTTGTTGGAGACGGGGATATCCCCTCCAAATCCCTTTTCCAGGTATGGAAAAATCTGGCCATTGCTGGGATTTCAAAAGAATAAATCCCATTCCAAATTAATTAAAGATAATCCCTTACCTTCTTCCACTCTAACTAGGATTCTGGGCTCGGCAATATCTGGGAAAAACCATGCTTCTACTCGGTATAAAGAGCCTAAGTTGGCATTGACCCTCCTCACGGGTTCTCGAAAATACAGTGGCTTGCGAACTGGACTTCCAAGGTTTCTCCCCAAACAGATTTTTCCCGGCAGATCCTAGCTTCAGTAAGTGGGATATATCCCCTGCTCTCCCCCGCCGACCCTTGTGGGAATTGGTGTGTTTCCTTTCATCCAGGATACTGCCCCCATCCCATGTGAAGTTACGTCCGAGCTCGCTAAGCCTAGCAGCCGACGCTTGGAATATTGCTAAAATTGACTCTTATTCTTCTGCGACCCCTAATTTTGTGCAGGATACTACGATGGTCCATGTCACAGACGATCAGTTGGTGCAGTTCTCCCTTGAGGAGGTGCAGTCGACGGAATTCAGGAGCTCCCGCATGCCGTTAGGGCGCCTCTTTACAGATAGTCCAATAAATCCGATCGAAGTGCGGGAAGCTGTTAACTACCACTGTCAGGAAAAGAATCAAATCAAGGTGCTCATTGCGAAGCATGGGCTGCTGGAGTTTGTGTTGCCAACCAAAGAATCCAAAAACTGGGTTTTAAAGCGAACTCCATGGATTATTAAAGATAACATACTCCACCTCCGGCCATGGTCGCATAACGTTACCAAGAGAACTTTTGAGGAGTTGGCTATTGCCGCTTTCCGGGTTTAGTTATGGAATGTGAAAGAAGATTGCTGCACCAAGCAATTTGGCCACTGATGACTCGGTATTTGCACATGTTTTCCCCTTTGTTTCTTGATTGTTTGAGCTTGAATTATCGTTTCTTTGGCCTATTTTACACTAGGTTGTGTTCCTTTGTCACATTTCAGGTCCTAGCACATAAAGTGAAGCATAGGCGCAAGTTTCAAGTCAATCAGAGATCAATTGACGATTCGGGAGAATAAACTCGGGTATGACCTGAAGAAGAATGGATTTCTACCTCAATTTATGGACAAAGAATCATGCAAGCTTGTCATGAAAAGAAAGAGGACGAGACTACAAGCGTCTGGGATCAAACGGCGACTGATTCGGAGGCCGGACGAGGGAGAAACGAAGCATTAAACAGAGGCTGAGCAAGCCACACGGGCACAACCCACACGGCCGTGTGACCTGGCAATGTGGCCGTGTGGAAATCACCGAGCCTTCACACGGGCAGCTGGGAAAGCCACACGGCCGTGTGGCCTGGCCGTGTGAGTCGGGAATTGCTGTTTAAAACCCGATTTTCAGCAAAAGGAAAGGGGGAGAGCTGGGTTTTGGATCCCAAAACACCCAAAGGACGAACCCTAGAGAGAGAGAGAGAGCGACTTGGGAACATTCTTGGAGCTATTTTGGAGGATTTCTTCGCCATTGGAGCTCGGGAATCAAGCTTGGAGATGGAGATTGAAGATCTAGATCAGATTTCTGCAGTCTCTCTCTTCTCTATGGAGTAACTTCCCTTCACTTAGGTTTTGAGGAACCCTAGTTCCATGAGTTAGGATCTTTCTTGTATGAAGTTTTGGATGCTATATTGTTTCATTATAATCGAATGATGCATGTTTATTGAGTCAATTGAAGTCTGATCAACTTTTCCTGATTTCTGCTGCAACCTGAGATAGATAGAATCTGATTAGGTTGTTAGAGCCTCATCATTCGGTAGTAGGAGATTGGCTATACGAGAGTTAGCCAGTTTACTGCTTTGTACTGGAATCCAATTCCAGTAGTGGAGTTCTGTGCTTATTGCTTCAGCTTTCTATCCCGGTGAAGACTAGTCGTCTGCCGGATAGTTAGACTGAGAGGGCTTGGTCAGCTTAAGAGATTCCAAGCTACTGTCGGATCTTCCGCAGTTTAATCAACAGTAAAACAACCAAAAGGAATTACAACTTGGACCTAATTGAGGAGCTAGGGGGAATCATACCTAAGTGAGTTCCCAAACTGTAATTAGTAGTTTTACTTAGTTTAGTTAGTAGAGTAGTTTAGTTAATCAATCCTTAATCTAGTTTGCTATATAATGAACTGAAGCTGAGTAATAGTAACTCTAGAGACCCGTGGATTCGATATTTATTACTTGTGCCACTATACTGCAGTCCCTTTCATTGGTTACACTTGGCCATTGTTAGGTGTTGTGTTTTAGCGAGTCAAGTTTTTGGCGCCGTTGCCGGGGACTTTCTAGAGTATTAGGAAAGTCAGAAGTTTGTTACTTTAGCATTTTTCTTTTCTTTTTTTTTTCCACCCTTGCTTTTCACTTGGGTGTTTTTTGTTTTTGTTGGTGCAGATCTGAATCATGGATCCGCATGGCTTCTCCAACCAGTGGGGGTATCCACCACCATCCGAGTGGTATTACCCCGAGACTCCCTGGAGCAATCAAGGAGGAGAAGACTATGGATTCGGGTTCCAGTACCAACCCCCTTTCTACGGAGAACAACCAGACCCCTGGGCATATCAAGAACAATCTCCTTATCAAGAAGAATTCCTCCCACAACAAGAAGGGCCATCAGATCTTGAGTTACCCATGGCGGCCTTCACGGGCCACTCTGCAGAGCCATGCTACACTTCACTGGAAGATCCGAAAAAACAATTAAGGCTTCTCGTGGAGCAGTTTGCTCGAGACACTAAGAAATCATGCTCCAAGATGGATCTTCAAATCAAAGCCCTTGCCACTTCCGATCCCTCATTTCTCCATGATATGGAGGAGATTGTTCAGCGCTCAGCGAAGCAAACAGAGTGGGTGAAGCAAGTTTGCTCGCATCTTGCCCAAGATCACCTTTCTGCTACCACGCTAGAAGAGGTGGAGGATGACAAAGGCTATGAGAGCGTTGAGGAGCATACAGAAGTTATCACAGAGAACTCTTATGATAATCATGATCAGGAAAGTCCTTTGGTTGCAGACCACACCTTTCCTCATTTATGCTCTAACATGCTGGCCCCGTGCGAGGAGATGCAAGATGATCCCATTGAAGAAATTGCTTGGCGACTTGCTCTCCAATCTGTTCTAGAAGAAGAAGAGCGAGCAAGGATGAGGAAGGAAGTTGTGGATGATGAGGAAGAAAGAAAAGAAGAGGTGGTTCTTGATCTTTTCCCAAGGGAGAGACCACATTTTGAAGAAGAAAGGGGGGTTGAGGAAGCAATTGGCGTCCAGGCTGAGGATGAAGTTGAGGTGGAAGAGGCTTGCACCGACCCTATGTTACATTTGATATCTCCACCAAACTTTGAGGAGCTGCATGGCAAGGACCCATTTGCAATGTCTTTTTGCCAGACCAAGGCCACATCAACATCGGTCCCTCTTGGTGGATGCAATGGTGGCCAATCGATGTTGTCATATCTGGTTTGGGGCAATGAGACGAGAGAAGAGAAGAAGAGGTCTCGAGGGTGGAGACCTCATCTGCATCAAGTACATGAGCCTTCATCACCTGCCACACCACATGCTCGTGACTTGAGACTCCACCTCATCGACGAGAACCTCAACTTCAAGGAGGTTCTAGCATGGACCGAAACTTAGGAGCCATCGTCCGGCTCACGACGTGAAAGAAGCGCTTGTTGGGAGGCAACCCAACCAGTCGGTTTGCATTTCTTTCTCTTTTTCTCCTCGGTTGAGTCAGTTTTGTTATTTGATTTTAGAGTCAATAACTCAACCTTTGTGAGATTTTGTGTGGTGTTTGTGTTCTGACCACTCTCTCCTCCCGGAATACACCGCCTGCCCCGTCCACCATCATTCACCCTGGATCTGGTAACTTCGTTCTACCCTCATTATCTTTCCTACATTGAAGACAATGTCAGGCTTAAGTGTGGGGGGGGTGTTCGATTATGTATGCGGGTGAATGTTTGGCTGTTTGTGTGCTTGGAGCCTAGTCCACGGTCCAAAATTTTAAATTTGAGGGCTCCAAGTACGTGTTTCCTTGCAAATTGCCTGCTCAGTATGCTTTGAATTGACAGTCTCTATAGTAATGTGCAACCTAGGGAGGTAGTGTAGCACTATGGAGGATGTTGAAGTATAAGATTTTTCCTATCTAGCTCTCTGCTGTGCCAGTTGATTTTGTGAATTAGTGGAGCTAAGACCGTTGAATTCATGTGGTAATGATGACTCTATTTGGATTGTGTTATGGACTCGTGTATCGAACAGGGTGCTCATGTGAAAAATGAAAAGCAGTTGGTCCTCCATGTCGGAATCATAAAAAATCTCAAACATGGGGTAAGCCCACGTTCATTGCACAAAATCGGGGTTTGGAGGAGATTTTAGTGATCCTTAGTGGGGTACTCCTACAAGGTGAAGCTAAGTTGTCTCCAGTACAAGTAAAACTTCCACCCGTTGAACGGTTTGCCTACTCGAGGATGTGTTTTTAAGGGCACGGATAGAGCTTCCGACCCCCCTTAATTTCATTGACCCTCCACACGAGTTGAGGAAAAGGAGTTAAAAGAAGTACTCTAGCGAGCTCCAGATGTACAGAAATTGCTCTTGCTCGACTAATAAGGGTCGACCGTGCAAAAGACTGCAGTTGGAACCCCACCAAATGAAAGAAAAAATGTAAATGAAAGTGAGAAAAAGGGGTTCCAATGGTGAAATGAAGTGAAAGAGCACCCCGGTACAACGAATCCTTGGTTGTGAATGGTGTGAGTCCCTTTATACATGAGTTGACTGTCTTACTTCTACTTTTTCTCATGATCCTGGCTTGAGTCTAGTACTCGCATTGAGAGAGATAGGGAACGTCTTAGAAGACCAGTTGACCTCGTAAGCTGCTATATGATCTAGGAAATCCTCTACCGACGATCGGGGTTGTATGTTGCTATAGAGCTCTGGAGAGCTGCATTGGTTTGAGTTAGGTTTGCTTGGGGACAAGCAAACAGTTAAGTGTGGGGGATTTGATGACTCGGTATTTGCCCATGTTTTCCCCTTTGTTTCTTGATTGTTTGAGCTTGAATTATCGTGTCTTTGGCCTATTTTACGCTAGGTTGTGTTCCTTTGTCACATTTCAGGTCCTAGCACATAAAGTGAAGCATAGGCACAAGTTTCAAGTCAATCAGAGATCAATTGACGATTCGGGAGAAGAAACTCGGGTATGACCTGAAGAAGAATGGATTTCTACCTCAATTTATGGACAAATAATCATGCAAGCTTGTCATGAAAAGAAAGAGGACGAGACTACGAGCGTCTGGGATCAAACGACGACTGATTCGGAGTCCGGACGAGGGAGAAACGAAGCATTAAACAGAGGCTGAGCAAGCCACACGGGCACAACCCACACGGCCGTGTGACCTGGCAATGTGGCCGTGTGGAAATCACCGAGCCTTCACACGGGCAGCTGGGAAAGCCACACGGCCGTGTGGCCTGGCCGTGTGAGTCGGGAATTGCTGTTTAAAACCCGATTTTCAGCAAAAGGAAAGGGGGAGAGCTGGGTTTTGGATCCCAAAACACCCAAGGGACGAACCCTAGAGAGAGAGATAGAGCGACTTGGGAACATTCTTGGAGCTATTTTGGAGGATTTCTTCGCCATTGGAGCTCGGGAATCAAGCTTGGAGATGGAGATTGAAGATCTAGATCAGATTTCTGCAGTCTCTCTCTTCTCTATGGAGTAACTTCCCTTCACTTAGGTTTTGAGGAACCCTAGTTCCATGAGTTAGGATCTTTCTTGTATGAAGTTTTGGATGCTATATTGTTTCATTATAATCGAATGATGCATGTTTATTGAGTCAATTGAAGTCTGATCAACTTTTCCTGATTTCTGCTGCAACCTGAGATAGATAGAATCTGATTAGGTTGTTAGAGCCTCATCATTCGGTAGTAGGAGATTGGCTATACGAGAGTTAGCTAGTTTACTGCTTTGTACTGGAATCCAATTCCAGTAGTGGAGTTCTGTGCTTATTGCTTCAGCTTTCTATACCGATGAAGACTAGTCGTCTGCCGGATAGTTAGACTGAGAGGGCTTGGTCAGCTTAAGAGATTCCAAGCTACTGTCGGATCTTCCGCAGTTTAATCAACAGTAAAACAACCAAAAGGAATTACAACTTGGACCTAATTGAGGAGCTAGGGGGAATCATACCTAAGTGAGTTCCCAAACTGTAATTAGTAGTTTTACTTAGTTTAGTTAGTAGAGTAGTTTAGTTAATCAATCCTTAATCTAGTTTGCTAGATAATGAACTGAAGCTGAGTAATAGTAACTCTAGAGACCCGTTGATTCGATATTTATTACTTGTGCCACTATACTGCAGTCCCTTTCATTGGTTACACTTGGCCATTGTTAGGTGTTGTGTTTTAGCGAGTCAGCCACAAAATGGCGAATGCCACCATTGGTAAAGTCTTGGAGACCGGTGTTTTTGCTTGCCAAGAGATGGGGGAGTCTTTTGTAAAGGAAGGAAAGATTTGGCCCTCATATGTCCACAAAGAAACTAAGTACAATAATATATGTTGCGGAAGATGATCTCCCCTCATTTTGCGGGCCTCAGAACTCGGTCCGGATTAGAAAAAACCCTATGGATGGGAGGTTGGTTACTACTGATGTTGGAAATCATCCTGCCTAGCATGGTGTTGCTATGCGAAATAAGAAATCTGAGCTAGCTTCGGATCTCCAACGTCAATTGACAGTTTGGGAGATCGAGGTAACTATCACCTTCTATGGAGAAGACTGGTAGGGGCTGTGGAAGCCCTAGAGGATACTCCCTGGCTAAATCTTCGAAGCTCCTCATCAGTGGAAAAGTTCGGCTGGGGACAAGCAAATATAAAGCAGGGGAAAGCTCCAGCCATGATGGGAGACGTGGGGCTAAGAAGCCAAGGAAAGCAGCTGTCCCTCCGAGCCAACCTGCCTTGCGCTCATTGTTTAACTCCGCGGAAGTGGTTTGTAACCAGGCGCGCAGACGACGACTGGTCCTTGAGGAAGACTCGGATGACGGGGTCTTCTCGACCGACCCTCCCGAGCAGGAAATAACCACGCGCCGTCGTGTTCCTTCTCCTGCAGCTGATGATCGCCGCAAAATCCAACATGGCATGCATCCCTCTGATGGTGCCAGGGACATCTCTCGGACTCCCCCCACAGTTGGCAAAGGCCGAGTTCATGAGCTCAAAGGAAAGGGACTGCTGTGTATTGGTGTTCTGCAAAAGAACAAGCAGAAGGGCGGTACCTCCACTCTAACTCGCCTACGGAACACACAGCCTTCTCCTTTGCACCAAAGCCTGGCCTAGTATAAGTCGCGGAGGAACAGAAAATTAGCTAAAAATGCTACCTCCTCCTCGGTGGCTCCTATGCGGCAAGAGAAGAAGGTTGTGGGAATGGCGATACCCCACTCTCCTCCATCACATGGCCCCCAGGGCTTAGGTGACCACCAGTCCACGCGCCATTCTTCTTCGGCGGCCATCTAGGACTCGGAGGTCATTGAATCGGAGGAGGAGGAACATGTCTTTGAAATCCAATCTCGCACGACTTATGTTGGACTTTCTCGTGAGCGCCGATCCAACCAGGGACATGTACGTAAGGTTCTGGCGGTCTTTGAGACGGGGCTGGTGATCAATCAGGTAGAGAAGGATGCCGTATCTGGCGGTACTCCTGTACTGGAGTCGGGGGACCTGGAGATCAATGAATATGGCCCAAATATGGGTAAGCACGAAAGTGGGGGAAGAAAGAGGAATCTTATGGAGGTGGATGGGGAAATGACTGAATCCCCCACTTCTAAAAGACAATTTGTGGAAGACAGAGAAGACATTGATGATAAGGTGGAGGAAGCCAGTCTCAAGTGGCCCCAATCCAATAAATGAAGCTACTGGCATGGAATGTGAGGGGTATTGGACCGTCTCTCACATTCCAAACAACGGTTGGTCTTATTCATTCAAATAAACGGACCTTGTTTTCTTTTCAGAAACAAGATCGCGTCGGAGAGTAGTTTCCCATCGTATGCGGGGTTTAGGTTTTGATTCCTCTCATGTTTTCTTTGTTGATGCTGTTAATGCATCAGGGGTGCTGGTTGCTGCTTGGGCCCCTGAGGTTGATGCTTCGGTTTTTTACCATTCGAACTTTTGTATTGGCATTCAAGTGAATGAAATAAATTTTTCGTATGTGGTGTTTGGGGTTTACATTAGTTGCAATGCCTCTACTCGAGCAAACCAACTAAGGCAACTTCATGAGATTTGTGATACAGTTCAGCTACCCTTTGTGGTTATAGGGGATTTCAACGTTATTCTCCATGAAAGCGAAAAAGATGGGGGGAACCCTTGGAATGCCTCCCATTCTATCGATCTCAGGGATTTTGTCCACGACTTAGGCCTCCATGACTCTGGGTACCAAGGTGACCAGTTTACTTGGACAAAAAAGCGAATGGGTGCGGATTGTATACGAGAGAGACTGGACAGGGCTTTGTGCTCTCAGTCTTAGATTGATAGATTCCCGGATACCCTTGTCAAACACTTCACTGACCAAGGGTCAGATCATCGGGCCCTGCTGTTAGCATATAAGCCCTATGTCAGAAATAGTCGACCCTTGTTCCGTTTTGATGCTCGCTGGGCCGAGAACCCTGAGGGAAAGGCCATGGTGGCATATGTTTGGCAGGAAGAGATCCAGGGTAGTCCAATGTTCCAACTTTGGGAGAAACTCAAAAAGCTGTGTCATCTGCTCTATGATTGGAGCAGGGCAGGGATGACTAATTCCCTTCGGAACATCCGAACTCTCCAGGCTGAGATTGAGAGAATTAAAATGATTCATTCAATTAATTGGTATATGGTTAAAGACCTGGAATTGGAACTAGGACGCAAGTGAGAAGTAGAGGAGATTTAATGGTAGCAAAAATCGAGAGACAATTGGCAGAAGAAGGGTGATAAAAATACTTCCTATTTCCAAACAGTCACCCGGGCTCGAGGGAAACGAAACTTCATTGCTGGCCAACGTAACAATGATGGGGACTGGATTACTGAGGAAACTGGAAAAGCTGATATTTCCATTAATTTCTATCAATCTCTCTTCACTTTGGAAAATCAGGTTCTTAACTTGCAGGAGAGAGTAGCAGCACTTCCCATAGCCCGGAATGTTACTCCGGAGATGAATGCCAGCCTGACGGCTGAAGTTCTCCCTGATGAAGTGAGAAATACAGTATTCTCTATGGGGTCAAAGCAGGTGCCTGGTTCGGATGGATTTACGGGGAAATTCTTCAAATCCTTCTGGAATATTGTGGGCCCCTCAGTGGTTGATGCGGTATGTTCGTTCTTTGCTACGAGTAGAATGCTCTGTAGTTTTAACCATACCGGGCTCACTTTGATCCCCAAGGTTGATAGTGTGGAGACTGTAAGGCAACTTCGTCCAATAAGCTTATGTCAGTTTGTGTATAAAATTATTACCAAGATCATGGCTGAAAGGCTTTCTTGCCTCCTCCCTCGGATCATCTCGGAGGGACAAAATGCCTTCATTCAGGGAAGGCAAATAGTTGAGAATGTCCTTTTGGGGCATGAGTTAATGCACTACCTGAAAATTAAGAGACAAGGCAAGAAAGGGTACATGGCTCTAAAGGTTGACATGGAAAATGCCTATGATAGATTTGAATGGCCCTTTCTTCTTGTTGTCTTGAATAAGATGGGCTTCAACTCTGTCTGGCAAGGGTGGATTCAGGAATGTCTCCGGTCTGCGTCTTTCTCAATCCTCAGGAATGGTACCCCATCGGGTTTCTTTTCCCCATTGAGAGGTCTTCGGCAACGGGATCCCCTATCTCCTCTCTTGTTTGTCATTTGCACGAAAGGCTTTGCGGCTCTCCTCCGGAAGGCTATTATGGAAAAGAAGCTAGCAGGTGTTAAAGTAGCTGCTAGAGTTCCCTGTATCTCTCACCTGTTCTTTGTGGATGATTCCTACTTATTTCTGCGGGGGTCCCTCGAGGAATGTGAGAATCTCATTAAAGTTTTGAATGAGTATGAAGAACTGAGTGGTTAGAGGGTTAACTTGGGGAAATCTGCTGTCTGTTTCAGTAAGAATATTACCCTGCCGGATCAGGAGTTTCTGGCCCAAGTTCTGGGTGTTGGAGCAGTGGGGGTCCATGATAAGTATCTAGAGCTACCTACACTAATTGCTCGATCTAAGATGGAGACATTCAGATACCTGGAGGAGAAATTGATTGAGCGTCTTCAGGGGTGGAAGCAAAGGACTCTGTCTTGGGCAGCGAAAGAGACGTTGATCAAATCAGTCGCTTTGGCTTTGCCGTTACATGTGATGTCCTACTTTATCCCTTTGTTGCCTTCTTGACAAACATGTGACCCGGTTTTGGTGGAGTGTGGAGGAAGGTCGCCCTCGAATTCATTGGATATCCTGGAGTAACCTTTGTAAAAGTAAGCATGATGGAGGGATGAGATTTTGGCGTTTTGAGCACTTTAATCAGGCTCTTTTGGCTAAAATTGGCTGGCAAATCCTGAATGAGCCCCAGTCTTCTTGCTCAGGTCTATAATGGAAAGTATTTTCCCAATGGGTCTTTTCTTACCGCTTCTGCTAGATCCCGCCCGTCTTGGGGGTGGCAGTGTATCCTCTTTGGGAGGCAGTTGCTGGTTAAAGGACTTAGGTGGAAAATTGGGAATGGCCAGTCTGCATCTCTGCTCCATTCCAGCTGGATTCCTCGCTTGCACCCCTCTCACCCTGTGTACAACCCCCTGGTGCTTCCGGGTTCTGGGACCTCGTGTGTTGCGGAGGTTATGTGTCCTGGGGAGGGTAGGTGGCGCGATAAAAAACTTAGCCAATGGTTTGCTCCTCAAATCTGCCAGAGCATTAAAGCTATTCCTCTTCCTAGGCAAAATGTGGAAGATAGATTCATTTGGCATGATACTGGTGATGTGGTCTTCACCGTCAAATCGGCTTATCACCTAGCTGTCTTATTGGACAAGCAGAAAAGTGGCTGGCGGGCCACAGCTAGTTGGATGGACAAAGCTAGCTGGATTCACTTATGGGAAACCCCCATTCCTCCTAAGCTGAAAGTCTTTGTCTGGAAAATTCTTAATCGCGTGCTCCCGATGACAGAGGCCCTCATTGAGAGAGGTGTTCTGGTCCATCCTTGTTGCCCAGTCTGCTGGGAGAGTTCAGAGACTATGGGGCACCTGTTTTTGGATTGCCCTGTGGCGCGAGCTCTTTTGGATCTTTCCGGATGAGAGTATCTTGGGCAGGGGTTGCCGCGTCACACTTTCCCTCTGTTTCTTAAACGGTTGATGACTCTTGTGCATCAACCTTCCCTCTTGATGGCGATTTTCTCCATTCTTTGGCGGATTTGGAGATCTCGCAATTGGGTGGTCTTTGAAGGAAAACAGTTCGGGTTCCCTGCCTTGATTCGACAATCTCACCAGCAATATGAGGAATGAGTAACCTTACCTAAGGATCATCATCCCCAGCCTTCCGCCCCCTAGCCCAACAACGAGCTATTGTGGACGCTAATAGTCCCATTTGTATGTGGGATAGGGCAGTAAGGCTCGGGTCCCATGCGGCGGGGGGAATGGTGATCATGACGCATGCTAGGGATGTCCTCTTTGTCAAGGGGGTGCAATTACCTTTGATTGAGGATCCGATGGTAGTGGAATTACTCGTCCTCCGTGAAGCCATTGTTTGGTGCTTAGGACATGGCCACACATAGATGAGATTTGAAGGAGATGCCTAAGTGGTCATCGAGAAGATTGCTCGAGGTGATGCCAATGATAATCAAGTCGGAGCTATTTTGGAGGAAGTTCGGCATTATTTTGATGTTCATAGTGGTTTTGATATTCGATTTGTAGGTCGGACGAACAATAGGGTAGCCCATATGGTGGCTCGCAAGGGCCTTTCTTTGTACCCGACTATGAGTCGTTTCATTGATTATCAGACCTAGATGAATTCCAGGATGTAACTATTATTTCGGTTCAATATATATGAGTATCTTTTGTCAAAAAAAAAATCCAATCTTCGGTTACAGATATGGCTATAATTACCTCCTATTTTAACCGGATCCTTCGGATACAGTTTGACCGGACTGGATTGTTTCCTTACGTACGGCAAGGTAGCTTTTTTTTTAAGGTGCAAGGTAGCCTATTTAAATAAATGCACGTGAGACAAAACCATTTCAGAAGAAACGTGGTAGAAAAACTACGTACTTTAATTTACAGGAATAACGAGCAAGAAACTTTTGATAGCTAGCTTAGTTGATTCTGGTTTACTTTTGTAAATGGATCAGTGGAGTGGAGCAGGTTTGTTGCTCCTGAGT